TTTTTTTTTTGTACTTTTAGTTTGATTAATCTTGTGTCGTCTCTTCTGTATGGGTGTCGTTATGGTGTTTTGTAGGATCGATACCAACTGAACTGAAGAACCCTGTACAATCAGCACAGAAAAATGCAACACTTCGTGCATTTCATTTTTGAATGAAACAATCTTATTATTTGAGGAAGCAAAAGTGCCAGTGTAAGGGAAGGAATAGTCCGTCGACTGTAAATCATCACAAAAATCAGTTTTTAGTATTGGTGATTAACGACACTGTTAATGTTACGAGCTGGTCGGACACCCGCATGGCCCCCAGATGCCCCGAGAAGCAGCGCTGGCCCTTTGTGACGATGCCAGACTTCCTTGTTTGTGATACCCTGGCTTTGTCTGGTTCTTGTCTGTTACGCAGCGTCTGTGATTGGGGAGGTGTGGCTTCTGTTTACTGTATAAGCGAGAATTAGGTTAGAATAAAGGCAGGTTAACGTCGTCGTAGCAGTGCGTCTCAACTTCCCTTCGGCTCTATAATACACATCCTGACACATACCTCATTCACATTCACGAAACAAGCGGGCTCGTATCTTTAACGAACGATTTGCCACTAGCGCCACGTCACTCCAAGATCACAGCAGCTGACTTATAAACAGATTTTTTAGCCTTATTCTTAGCAGCCACGAAAAAAATGCCAGTTGCTTTGCTTCAAACAATAGTTATTGTGTTTAGTGTGAAGTGCTTAGTGTTCGATTGCAGTAAGTATCATGCAGTGTTCAGAAAGTTTTGTTGGATTTCAACAAACTTATCCTAAAAGTATTTTCAGACAAGTTATTACTACGAGACATGCTCGCCGGAAGAGTGTTGGATGCTCGATCGCATGATGACGCCGTTTTGGCTGCGGCCTAAGTATTATGTCGATGATCCATATGAGGTTTCTTCTGTGCACATTTTGATTATTGAAAATCATTCCCAGAAAAACACGCAAAAAATGGGGTGACTAGGAGTCTGTTCTCGCTAATACTTTTCTCGGTCAAAATGTGGATTGGAGATATCAGCGAAATAGCACCGGTATTATGACTTCCACGTGTTTTCATAGCTGCTTCTGTAGACAAG